CTCCCAATAAAAAGATGCTTCATGTCATACCCCGCATTATCCTTTCTGAGGGTAGACATCATGTCCAGCACTTCTCCTTGAGCCGTCACCACCTCAAGACCCAGCACATTTGCGTGCATAGATCCGTATCGGGCAAAATGAATACCACCTGCATTTGTGCTTACAGCACCACCAATTTGTGCGCTCCCTTTGGACCCCATTGTAATAGGCACAAGGAGGTCATGGGCCTTTGCCGCCTCCTGCAGTTGCTGAAGGATGACACCCGCCTCCGCTTCTGTGGACATAGTCTGTGGAGAGACAACAGGATCGCCGTTCATTTCCCTGAGACTGAGGATGACTTCGTCGTGAAGTGCAGAAGAACCATACACCAACCCGGTGTTCCCACACTGTGGAACAATCCCAATTTTCTCACTTTGGCAGTAGCGTAGGATGGCTGCCACTTGCTGAGTTGATGTTGGGAGAAGAACCACGGGACATTCCCCCTCCACCTGGTTCATCCAATCCCTATTGAAAGACACAATTTTATTCGGATCTGTCAGCATCCTCCCCGGTTTTTTATTCTTGGGAAATGGCTCCCGAAGCACACAGTTGAAGTATTCAAGGTGGGTTTTATTAAGTTTCGCAAATAAGGGATTTCGATTGGCATAATGTGTTGCCCGCTGGCGCGCCGCTGCAAAAACACTCATCACTTACAAGAGGAAACAGAACAGAAAAAGGAAAAAAAAACCAAACAGCAGTCACGAGGGTGCAAGAGATAAAGAAGGAACAAAAATGGTGAGACAACAGTACCGCTTCTTCTTGTTATTCACCTGTTCTCATTTCTCCATTTTCATTTAAAAATATTTCTTCCTTTTTGGGTGGTGAGAAAGTAGTGGGTTCTCCAGCAGCAATTCCAGATGTCTGGTTCTTTGTTTTTTTTACACGACTCATTCTTTTATTCGTTTTTAATTTTCTTTACTTCTTCCTTCCCCTTCGTTCTCTCTCTCTCTCTCTCCATTATTTTCCTCCTGGCACCGAAGGCATCGACAAGTGAAAAAATACCCTTTTAACTTTTCATTCCTTTGCTCAGGTGTGGTGTTCTCTAATGGTATGTACGTGATAGTAAGCTCCTCACCGCTTTTCACTGGACGAAGCGTACGAAGTGTGATGTCATGTGTGCCGTCCACATTACTCACACTTACATTAGGGTCACACGAATGATTAAAAGCAGATTGTAGAGCATATACTGCCCCACCCTTGAGTACCCATTCAACAAGTGGTATGGCAGAAAAAGCCTTTTCGCCTGATGAGGATTGGACGATAAAGCCGTTTATGGCCTGTGAATTCAACGACATTTGACCCAGAAATGTTTCCAGAGTGTCGTGGCGCAACAATGCATCAACGATTTCTAGGGCCCAGGCGTCGTTCTCAGACCGTGGCGGTAAAGTCGCCTCCAAGAGAGCAATGCGACATGGCTCCCGTAACAAACGATCCACAGTCCGATACCAGGAAAGAGCGTCTACATCACCGAACTCGGTACCCTTGGGAGCATCAATAAGGCGGTTAAAAGGCGCACAAGCAATGTGAAAGAGTTGCCGGGAAATACTTTCCTCATTTTCTGTGTGATGTCTCTCCAAAAACTCTCCACTGAATCGTTGTTGTTTAATGGATGTTGCAATGCGAGCTACGACCCAGGCAACACATCGTGCCAAGGATTCTTTCGTGATAGTTAGGTCAAAACGTTTGCCTGCATCCGTATCAAAAGAACCAACGTCCTCCTCTTCGCGAAGCTGCCGTAGAGCACCGCATAAAATGTGGTGGGCCATCTTGCTAGAGAACTCACAGTTATCTGAACAAAAATATGAACCACAACCATCACACGTGCGCCACAAAGAATCATTCTGCGTATTTGCTGCGTCTGAATTCGCCTGCTGGCGGAGGCAGTGTGAACAAAAGGGAATGTCGAGTGCGACGTATCCCTGTGCCGGCCACGACACGATGGGTGCCTCCTCAAAGAGATCACTTTGCGCCGGGATTTCGGCTGTTGCAATAACGTGTTTTCCCTTTTCGCTCGTGTTATGCACCCTGCATGGCACCGACATTTTCTCAAAGGTCCTCGTCAAATACAACACCGCCTCCCCAACAGGATCCATCTCGGTGGCCAAATGTGCCCTTATTGATGTTATATTAAGTGGAATGAATGAGGGGGGAAGAAAAGAGTTAATAAAAAAAAACTATTGTTGTGCCTCTCCAGTTCACAAAATTTGCAATTTGGACAACAACAAAAAAAAGGAAATTATTGGGTTTGGGTGAAAAACTCAAAACATATAACATCATGAAAATAGCGTCACGAGGCAAAAAAATAACAACAAAAAAAAATATTTATTGCTAACACTATTATTAGTATTGCTACCAGTATGCCATTTTACTGTTGTAATGACTCATTTTAACTTGATGTGACAAACCCATCTCCACAGATACATTTTTCCCAGTGTGGCTTTAACACAGTGAATAACGGGGGCTTTTAAAGCCCAATATTACGTCTCTTAATTTTATTTTCCACCCCTTTAATTCCTACTCTCAGGGGTTTAGATCCAATAGAATGCGTTGTAACTCTTCCACAGAATCAGCCCCTTTTAAACTCGGTTGCTCCTCAGCAAGAGCCCTTAATGATTCGGATAGGTAACGAAACCGCCGATTCGCCAGAGACTTCATCTGAAGCACCATTGTCCTTAATTGAAACGCTCCGTGCATCTCTGCCACACGATGCCACATAATTACCTTGCCTATCATCCTTATATCCTCCAGTTCGTCATCCTGCAACTGTTCCTCTTTTTCCTGCCTTTTAACACCATGGGCAAAAGAACTCGTTGTTGTGTCTCTGCGTGAAAGACGGCGCAGCGCAGCGGAGAGTATCGTAAGCTCGTTAAAGAACACCATAAGAAATTCTAATGCCTGTTCTGAAATGTACTGAGCATGCTTGGCGTTCAAAGGGTCTGTCGGAACACGAACGTACCTCAGGGCAGCAATACATAATCCTTCAAGTACCGTCGCGTAGCGCAAAAAAAGTTGATTAAGGTAAGGCACATTTGTAACAAAATTTTCTGGGTTTTGCAAGATACAGGCATCCACTCCGTCGAATGAGCCAACATCCGCGACGGGGGGATCAATTTTAAAAGATCTGGGCTGATTCTCACCAGGGATAATACCACGAAGAATACTGCTGAATATATCCGCCGCCTCTGCGTATGTACTGGAAGGTTCATGATGAATGTAGTCCAGCATCATGGCAGAAGAAAGGTCTGCCTCAGCTGCCGAAGATCTCTGTGGCATAAAGGATCCACGTGGGCTCTTGTTGGCACTCTGTGACCATGGAACATAGCCACTATCACTTACATTTACTGGAACAGCATATAGCACAACTTGTGGATCTTCCCATTTCAACCTTCTGGCAAAAAATGCTGAAACATAACAAGGTGCAGTATGTCCGTTGCAAAAAAGGCCAGTGGTATCAGATCCACGTATATAAAAACATAATTGAAATTGAAGTGACCAGTCCATGGCATTACACTCCTTTGGGCCGATGAGAGGATTTCCACTCATCATAATACTCGTAAAATGATCTCGAGAAGACTGTGTTAAATTGACTGGCAAGGTTATCATATGTTCCAGGGTAGGAAGAAGCGTTTCCACTGCCACAGCTCGCCAAAAGGCCCGCACAGAGGCAAATGACTTTTCCCATAGAAACGGCTCAATATACCTATATGCAATACAAAGAACCTGACACTCTGTGCTCGTCACAACCCAACGGTTCATCTGATTATCGCGTAACTGTGGAGGAACAACAAACCGCTCGAGACCAATGACGCAACCAAATCCGTATTCACCCTCGCTGGAAGCTGTCCAACGATTAAGTTTCGGTTTCAAAGAACCAAAAACGATAACGTGAAATAATTTATCTTCCAATTTAATTTCTTCACCTTCATATAAATTCTTTGTGCTCCCCATGGCACTTAAAGTATTAATTTCTTCAGGATCAAGTCCACGGCCTAATGGTGTCGCTGCCAAAGCCGCAATAACCAATTCATTATCCAGTCTCGGGGGTTCCCATGATCGAGGTATATGTTCGTACATATGCTGTACCATTTCTTCTAAAGCGGCGGTGGGTTTTGCCCCGAAACCATGATAATGATGTAATTCTTCTACTCCTTTACGAAGTTCATTCACAGCTCTCAACACCGCACGACTAGTAGCTATACACATTGTAGCTGCAGGGTATGTTTCATATAAGAGACGTATAACACGACGAACTTCCTCTCTCTGCGATGTCATCCAGGCTTCAATGCGTCGCCCATGTAGCTCATTTTTTGCATATTGGTATTTAATAGGGTTTACCTCATCAAGACACCGTGCAAATGAAAGTAAGGTCATAAACGCATTTTGCTGAACACGTACATGTGCCCACTCCAAGTATCCTTTTCCCAAAAAAATTTCTGAAACAGTTACCCATAGAGGCTTAAGATTTTCTTCTATTAAGCGGGCCTCTAATTCTTCAGTCATTTCGACATGTGGAGATGGTTTTCTCCGATGCAAATGCCGAACCTCAATCAACTCTCCAGAATCTATAGCACGTGCGACAGCACGTGATATGGTTAAAACAACAGTTTCGGATATGAGGTTCTCATCACGCTGGCGCCAGAGGGACGCCTTAAAGGCTTTCATAAGAAGACGATTAACAACGGTATCCTCATCCTCTCTCAAGTAACTCATACCTTTATAAGGATTTAAAAGATGCTCTTTTACATACGCTTCGGCTGCAGCCCAGTTAGCACTTCTGTAAGACACATTGTTTTTGTTCTTTTGAAGCGCCTTTTGCCTCACAACCTCCAGGTGATCCATGGCATACTCCATCTGTATCATTCTGTGTTCTTGTTTACGTTTGTGACCTAAAAAAGTCACAACCTTTTCTGCAGTTGTAGCGTTTATAAATAAACTCAAAAGTACAACTCCACATGTAACTTTCAAAATATTCACACCAGCTTCAATTCCGGTTTGAAGAACCGCCAAAGCAAGTGTGACTGCGACTCCTCCTCGCAGTCCTGCATGTGCAAGTAGAGTGACCTCTCGCTGTGACATCCGGTATGGAAAAAGGTTTAAAATTGGTAAAAGAATCTCTAACATTAAAAAGCGCGCCATGATCACTGCTACGTACATACATATAATAATTATTAGGTCCAATATGTTTAGTGTAGGCACCACATCAGCCACCAAAATGAGACCCACCAGAGAAAACAGCATTGTGTTCCCAAGATGCACCAGAAATTCCCAGATGTTGTATACCAAATTTCCTTCACGACCAGGAAATAAAGAGGGACAATAAAAGCTCAAAAAAGTTCCGCTAAAAAAAAGTGTTAGCACTCCACTAGTACCTATAATATTTCCAGCAACATAGTAACAAACATATGTGACAGATACTGTGATGCATGTCTTCACAATACCACCTGTAGCATGACGTAACCAATATGATTGTATAAATCCAAAAACAGGTCCCACAATAATGGGTAAAGCTGCAAGTTGTACACCCTTTAGAATGATGTTCCACGTTGAGTCCTTCAAGCAGCCAACTCGTGCAGCAGGCAATAATAGTTTAAATGCAATGATAGCTGTACCATCATTCATGATAGCCTCACCATCTACCATAGCAGTAATCCTACTGTCAACACCAAGACCCTTTAATAATGAGACGACAGCCACAGGATCAGTCGCAGACAATAAGGATCCCAACAACAGAGCTGAATACCATGACCATTCTGGAAAAAAGCACGCCACAGGTAAGGCAAGCAAACAAGTGTTAACAACAACACCAACAGAAGCTAGAATTAGTACCTGAGGAAAAACACGACGTAGTGCATGCACATTCATCGCATAACTCCCCTCAAAGATCAATACTGGAAGAAATATATAGAAAAGAAGCTCCGGTGGAATATTGCCAAGTGATGTAGCAACATCTGGGGTGATCCAGTGAGCAAAAAAACCGACAAAAATTCCGTACAAAAACAAAACTACTGTATATGGTAGAGGTATTTTTGACATGTTTGTCATGAAGAATGTGCCGCCGCAAAAAATGAGCATCATCAAAAACAATACATTCTGCGAAAGCGTCTCTAATTCTTCAGCTGCATCATTGCCTTTTGCTGGTTCATCCATGTTGTTTTCTTAAAGACAATTCGATGTAATGCTAAAACAAAGAAAAGAAACAAAACACCGCCATGAAAAGAAAAAAGAGGAATTTATATGGAAAATATTCCATTTTTTTTTTTTTTTTTTTTTTTTTTTGGAGGGGGGGGGAAGGATTAATATTAATAATAAAATAACGCTATACATATTTATACACTCATACAGGGAAATCCAGGCAAGCCGATAATAAAATAGTAATAAAAAACTCAATTACCCACACAAATTCCAGTGGCTGTAAGAGTAATTTAACTCCCAAATGATTTAAAAATCTTCACTGTGGTATGTCTCCAGCATCTGTTAGTCTATTTGGTTTATCTGCGTTAATTGAGGGATCTAGTATGGGTGCTGACAACGGTTGGTTACCAAAAGTCCGTGGTTCTTTATCAATAGGCATGGAATAACTATTTACCATATCCATCCGGTCGTTATGTTCACGCAATTCCGCAAACTGTACGCTAAAATCATCTGGTTCCATTTCACGAGGGTTAAGCTCGTCAAGATTTTCTATTTCGTCTAATGTAGCCTTCATATCTTCGTCACTCACCCCAGATTCAATAAGATACTTTAAAAGTCGATAGCGATCCATCATTGTATCATAGAGTTGGTATCGCTTCTGTGCTTTATAAAAGTTTGCAAGAAGAAGAACAACACTCAGATTTTTGGGATCGAGAGAAAATGCTTTTTTTGCCGCAACAACAGCATCATCCAATCCTTTGATAGGATCTTCTTTATGTATCAAAAGCGCTAGAGTTTCCCATGGAGATGCCTCTTCAGGAAATTCTTCCACGGCCTGAATACACAAACGCTTTCCAACAATCACCGAGTCCATTGCTCGATCCTCGACAAACTGAAAGAGGGCCAATCTGTAAGAAGGCTCCAGGTCATCAAGAAATCCCTGTTCAATTTCTTGCTTTCTTCTTCCTGATGGTAATTCGTATTTGCCGGACTTTTCTCGATAGAGTTTTATAAGGCGTTCACAAATTTTATAACTCTCGTGTTTCCTCCCAACGTATCGAAGGGCAGAATGAAGTTTAGATAAAATATGAAACTCAAACCGTAAAGGGTCCCTCACTAGCTCATACAAATTCCGCGCCAAGAGCGTCTTTAAAAAACTGATCACCACACCCACCGTCTGTTCTGATGCATTTTTCGAAGAACTCTCCAAACGTGCTGCAAAGTGCTGTTCATCCATAGATCGAAAAACGGATTCCAAAAACAGCGAAGTATATTGGGAACCTATTGTACGAATGATCGGAAAAATAGCTTCTAAAAAGAAACGAGATGTTGACCCTTCCCCGTTTTCCATGTAATGTAATGAGCCTGCCTCTACTATCATATCTGAAAGAAGAACCATTGCAACTTCCAACATATGAGATCCATTTCCATTACGTTCTTTATTTGAAAGTTTCACGGTGTTTTCTGTCCGATTTGATTTTGTTTCTTCTTCATTATCCCATGTTTGAATTTTGTCAAATAGTTCGCAAAGCCCTCGTGGTTGTTCAGTGCCTGTGTATAGCTCTATAAGAGACTCTAAGGCATCACAGTTCGAGTGATCTGATGAGAGGATTTCCATACATATTTGCTCAGCCTTTTCATAATCCTGGAGTCTTCTCATTGCCAATGCAATGATGTATCGCACATGATTACAATCATTTTCACTAATCACAACAACATTCAAATGTTCATCGGTTGTATCCTTCTCACCTTGTAAAACGGACGATTGCAACAACCGTGTTGAGGGGTTTTTTTTCACTGTATATCCAATCATATTCTGCATCTCGTTAAGAGTTTCTTGAAGGTAGGTGCAAGCGGACTCAAGATCCTCTGGTGTACTATTGCTCTTTAGAACAATTTCCTTCCATTTCTGAATGGCAATTGTTGTGTAACCATTGTATGCCAACTCTTCACGGTGCATCAAATCATACTCAATTTCCATCTCCTCCAGGAGCGCGTGTTCCTCCGGTGCTATTTTCCTGTAGGTTACCATCTGCTTTGGATGATTAGCAGGATCCTGAATGTAACCTGAGGGCGTATCAGCCAATGTATTTTCCGTAATATTTCGAAAATCAAGTTTTGTAGACCTTTTGACATAACGCCGCTGCTGAACCATTATATTCACATTGTTTAAGGAAAAAACAAATTTGTCGCAATTTTTCGATCTCAGATGGGTCGCCCTTAAAAAGGCAATACGTCGAATAGTAACAGTAACAGCAGCTAAATGGGCAGCATTTTCTCCAAAAGGAATTCTTATCATAAAGAGTAAAACCCAGGGCCTTCACCAGCTGTTTATGCAACCAAAGACTTATATATGATGGTAATTGCAGTAAATTCCAATATCTAATTCGAGAACGTATAAAGAAGGAGTAAAAAGGATTCTCCTAAACAAAGCTCACAATGCCAAAACAAATACATTCATGAAAAAAACAAAAAAAGAAAAAAGCATGACGATGGTCTTGATGAATTAGCAATACTATAATTAATTCATATAAATCTATTCCATCATCCCTATTTAGATTGTCAGGGTTTCCTTAATAATTAGAGTGGAGGCAAAGGCAATTCCTGAAAAAAAGGGGACACATTGGGAAAGCTTCGTGTTTGTGCTACAAATACCTTATAGCTATTCCCCATTTCATCTACATCCATGAGTCTGCGATAATTCTGTAAAATTTTCATGGCGGTTTTCGTTTCTTCATCTTTAATGACATGTGCTAGTCGGACATCAATTCCACCCCATTGAAGAAATTCCCTTTGTGTCATTAAAGGAAACCATTTTAAATGACGTCTGGCTGTTTCCAGGCGTTCTAATGCCCATCGCAATTGTTTAAAGCTCACCCACGATGAAAGATCCACCTCTCCAGGAGAAAGAAGAGGATCTACAAACCTATGCCCACGTATTCCCCTCAATGTACTATGCATATGTTCATCCTTTCCGTAATCAATTATAAGGCAAGCCGCTTTTTGGCAATCGACCATCTTTTTCATAATCAATTCCATGGTTTGCATCCCAACCGCATTAACCTCAATACAATCACCTAGTTTTCCACGTGAACGAATATCATTAGGTATAAGATATGCCGAGAAAGACCCGGATGGTGCATGTACCATGCGGAAATGAGACTCATTTGCAGGATCTTCATCAACCTCCAGGCAGGTCTCTACCCAACCTCGCTCTGTATAGCGAAATTGAGCAACGGGAAGAGCGTCAAAGTACTCGTTGGCTATAAAAATTGTTGGTTCTAGTGAAAATGGAATTGATTCCAAATCCATCCACCATTTTATCTTCCCTTGGGCAGTCTGAAACTCAGCAAGGGCGCTTTTCTGTTCCTCCATACGAGCCGCCCCAACTTCCACAAGGTGAATCTGTAAAAAGTGAAGTAAGTGAGGATTGGAGTATTTGGTCTGCTTCAAGATGTTTTTCATGAGCGTACCCCTGCCAGGGCCTAATTCAATTAAATGAAAAGCCCTGGGTGTCCCCATTTTCTGCCAGGCATCCATGATCCAAGCAGAAATTACATCGGCAAAGAATGGTATCTCGGCTGCCGTAATAAAATCAGCCTTTTCACTACCAATAACATGCTTTTTTGCAGTGTAATATCCGTGTTGTGGGTGAGTCAGGCATTCCTTTACAAACTGTGACATCGGGAAGTAGCCCTGTGAAGACATTTTGCTAATTAATTCGATGCAAAGCGGTGTCTTTAGCTCCTTTCGGTTCTTTGAATTTACGGTAGATCGTTCTGGTGTAGATATTTCGCTCGCATGAAGTGTGGCATGCGTTATTCTCGCGCAACGAAAAAAAAGAAAAAAACTTTTTTGAAGCATTTGATTTTTATTTCCTCAAGCAAGCTAACTTTTTGTGTGTGTGTCTGTGTGTGTGGCTGCCAGTGTTTATATGTGGAGAAAAGGAAATTGATAAATGACGCTCTCTATGTTGCAGCGTTGGCAGCAGTGTTATTTAGCGACACCCCACCGCAGTTACCCACAGGCGAAAAGCAACGACAACAAAAAAAGAGTCCCTCCGCGACGGCTGCTCGATCAGCAGAAGGAAGAAGCCGAAAATTTAAAAAAATGGGAACAACAAGCAGCCCACACAAGCTAGCAAATACATCAACGCTTTTTATGACTTGAACACGAAAACACACATACAAAAAAAAAACTTAACCGCAAACACCAAACACGAAAGCCACATATTGTCTGCAAATGAGCGGTCTCTCCGCGCCACCCTCGAACAAACAACGGCCAAAGAACCTCACAGTAAAACACACCCCAAAACAGCGCGAATGTTATCGCATTGTCCCGTTGTTTCTTGTTTCGAGCGCGACGTTAGAACAAAACGCGGCGAAAAAAAAAAAAATGGAAATCGCGGGAACAGAAAAAATCTGAGGACTGCAGGGATTGAACCTGCGACCCCTGGATTTGGAATCCAATGCTCTACCACTGAGCTAAGCCCCCGCCACGCACGCTTATTTACCAAAGACTAAAGCTAACTACTCTGAAAAAACAATGAACAAAAACCCCTCACACTTCGGATTTGAACCAAGAACTCTGCCCACAACAAAGCAGCAACTCCACAAACACGTTCAAAAACAAAAAACGACCTTGTTTCATTGGGAGCTTGTGAGGAGGATGCTCATGAGGTGGGCTGGCGTCCCTAATGTATGTGTGTCCTGGTAAAACGGAGATGCTTCTCCACGATCCTTTTCTATTTTGTGAATGTTTGGTTGACCGTCACTGAGGGAATCAGGGAACTGTTAGTGTCCAGACGATTTGTAATTATTTTAGTTTTCACAGCCACAAGGGATCCCTGCAAGCTGATTGAAAGGAATGGCAGTGTTTTCTTTTACACGGCGACGGGGAGGAGCGACATTGGTGCCCGCATGTTGGACTTGGCACGCCAGCATGGTGATGTACGGGTGCAGCTCGCCTTCGTTGATGAACACGGGCCGTTGGATGCGGTGGTAGCCGCCGCCGCAACAATGACAGGCTTACGCTTGATTTCGGGAGACATCGCCATGCACTGGGAGGAGCCGACCGTTGCGGGGCACTTTGCGAATCGCCGGGCGCCTCAAGTACCTAATTTCGAGGTTCGAGTGCTGCTGCCCGTCGTGTGTGTGCTGCCCGGGAGTTGGGGGTCCAGCAGGGGCTGATCATTGCTGGAGGACAGAGACTGAGCACCGACTACGCCAACGCCGTCGCGGGCGTTGCGGATTGGAGTGCTCAGCTTTACTCTCAGGTGGAAGAGGCGCATAATCACTTGTTGGCACGCGGATCTCACATTGCGGTGACCGGCGGTCTTCTTGCTGGACGCGGAGACGCCGTGTCAACGCGAGGCGCCCACCTCTCGGAGAGGGCCGTCAGACGGCGTAAGCACACAGCCGCACCAACGGCATCGTTTGATGGCTGGGGCGTGCCTGCATCCACGTTTCCCCAACGCAATCCCACGGGAGAGAGACGGCGGGTCAACACCCATACGTCTCAGGGCAGTTTTGGGCGACCACGTCTCCCTCACTCGATGCCTTTGCCCTCCCGCACCTTCCCCTTGGAAGATGGCTCCGGTGCAGAGGATCAGTTACTGCATTTCCTTGCATTGGACGTTGACACTTGGGCCCCGCGTGTATGGAATGACGTCGTCTCCGGAGTCCTCGTCGACCTCCGATGCGCATACGGTTATTGTTTGCGCTAAGTGGGCCCTCAGGTTCAAATGGCCATCGACGGTTTGGTGTCGTGCAGACGCGCACTGGAGATGGATCGGGAACCCAGCGATCAGCTCATGGGTTTCGGCAGGGCCCTGCCGCAGACCTTCCGGACGCTGATCGCGATAACAACCGACCCCAGCATATCCCGCTCTCCACACTTCGTGCCCGCCTTCACATGGCCGTTCACGAGGCTGACACCTTCGCGAGGGCAACCCAGCCTCTTGTGGAGCGGCGCGCAACCCAACAAAAACAACGATTGTTGCGATTTCAGTTGTGTCGTATTTATGGACACGACGCATCTACACGCAACGTGCGCAGCTCAGCCAGAGGAATTACTCGCAGCGCAGTCTGCCATTAAAAAACGGCGAGGGGCTGCCGGCTGCTTACGAGGGCGGAAGAATACAGCCCCATCCATTCCACCACCTCCCAGCAATCCGCGCACAAGACGTCGCACCGCGCCAAAGACGCTTCATCCGATATTTCGAATCACCCGAATCAACCGACGAGAAGGGCAATGGAGCTTATCCGCAAAGAAATTACTGTGGCACGACGAACCTCCGACATCCCCGCTTTGGACAAGCTACATGAGGGGAGCGAACGAGGCGGCTTGAGAACTGTGTGCGCCGTCAACGTGGCAGCAGAGAATGTCCCTAGCGGGCAATTTACCACCTTTTGCTGCACGCACGAACGCACGATGAACGAGGAGAGCTGCGCGGCCTTTTTGGTGGCAATAGTCTGCGTGGCGCCATCGACCCGACGGCAGTACGCCAGGATGCTGCGGTCCATGTTGCAGATGGATTGAACCCCGCTGGACATGGTGATTCTGGGGCTACAAAAAATTGCGGCGCGAACCGAGACGGAGCAGACGCACCCCTCGACAGAGGAAGAGATGGATCAATATATTCGCAGCCGGACCGATTGGAAGCAACGTGCTGTCGTACGACTTGCGTGGATAACGGCGAGCTGTTGGTCCGAGATTGCGGCCTTGACTCCCAAAAATTTCACGCTGGAGCCGGACGGGACCTTCATTTTGGATTGGCCCGTGGTGCCGAGGACGGCGAGGGCGGATCCCCACCGCGCCTTTCGGTTCGTGAGGATACGAGGGCAGGACGCCTTCGACATTATAAAGTTATGCAGGACACTTCAAGAAAACGAAAAGCTCACGAATATCACGAATGCCAAAGTTGAACGAGCTCTGGCTCCTTGAAATGCCACGGCGCATTCCACAAAACGCGGTGCGTTGAGGCACGCTGCTCAAATCTTGGAGACGTGCAATTTGAATCCACACGTGATCTCGCCGTTGGCGGTGCACGTCGACCCGTTCGACCTTCCCCAGAGCACAGTTCGATATTTGTGGAGGTACACCACAATGCTGACCCAGGTGTTGCCGCTGGTCGCATTGATGTGAAGGGGAGAAGCTGCGGAAGGGTAGGAACCCTGGCTGAGGGCGGAGGAGCGTTTCTCCATCAATTTCATCACCATGCGTCTGCCATTACAAGACGCACGAAAAGGAAGCGCCTGGCCATTCCACAAGAGGAACGAACCATCCCGCTACAACAAGTCAATGTGCCCGTGTTGAATCTGGAGTGGATCCAAAGCGGGTTCAACCCGGCGACCTTGGAGAGACTCATGCAAGTATGTGGGCGCGTCGGGCGGTCCCCTTTACCTTTATCCTCCTCCGGTAGCGCGCGAAGGCTTACGGAGGGTTCCAGTCGCTGACGCGCGATTAATGAAGGAAGCGGGAATAATAGTGGACGCATCGTTCGCAGTAACAAGCGGCGGATGGATAATGCCTTTTCTGTGGTGGAGGAGAAAACCACCGGTTTGCGACGACGATGGATCGCGTGGCCACGCGACGAGAAGAGAGACGACCCTTACGAGGCGAATGTTCCTCTTTTACACATTTCCCATTATTTGCCACCCGTGATGGCTGAGGCCGCTTTCTGCGTGGAATTAAAGGCATCCTTTTTCCGGTCTTTGTTGCTGCGGGGACTCGGCGTCTCTTTCGATGCCGCGTGAAGGACGGCACGCTGGTGGAGCTCACACGGCTCCCAATGGGACACAAGGCCGGCCCAGAAATTCTCCGGATTATTATTACTTCGGCAATTGCGGGGTGACGACGGTGGCTCACCGCCTCCGGGCTGCACCTCCATTGGTTCGTATCGACGTATGGATCGATGATATACGCATTGCAGGGGTCGATAAGCGATGTGACATTGTGGGAAGCCCAGGTGCTTTGTAATGCGGATGGCCGTCACGCTACGATATGGGAGGATCGCGAATCGGGCGCTACGCATTAAATCCTTCTGTGGGTGCGGTTTGATCACACACACCGGGCGGTGTCCCTGAGTGACAAGTTTGTCCGGTGTTTATGCGCCATGCCGTCGCTGAAGTATTTAACCATCGCGGAAATGGAGGTTGTGGCGTCACGCTTTTTTTACGCGTCTGCCATTTTTGTTCAGGCGTTTATTTGACTGCTACTTTTTCATCAAGGCAGTGCGACGACGATTATCGGCACTTAACCGGGGGATTGTGCTGGAGACATCCCCGGCGAACTTTCAGCTGTCAGCGGTTGGTTTGGGCGAGAGATTACGACACAGCATCGAGAATATAATCGTAAGCGAATCATCAAGCCCACGGAAAAGGCAGTGGCCGCCATCATCACAAATGCATTGTTTTGTGGATGGGGAGCCGTTATTATTTCATACTCCGGCGACGTTAAAATTGCCGGAGGGAAATGGGAGAGGAAGCCTTTTCTTATCATGCAGGCGGAGGCATGCGCGGTACGCTTGGCCTTATCGGCCTTTTCCGCCATCTTGCCATCCACCATGGACGTTTGGGTGGACAACACTTCGCTGCGAGGAGCGGCGAATAAAGGCAGCTCAAAATCACACTCCATGACGTGGGAGCTGCAACGGATATATGAGTTTGTTGACTCTCGCGGAATACAGGCATTCTTTGCATACGTACGGTCTGCGGACAACCCCGCAGACGGCATATCACGCGGTCGTGTTTTTACACTTCAGGACTTGGCGAAGGGGAGCGGTGGGGTCTTGTGGCTGGAGGACCCCAAAGTCTGCCACTTCGTAAGAAATTATATATGTATCCAATCCGAGTAGAGTGAGC